GCAGACTCCCCCTGAGCCCAGAGCCCTGAGCCCCAAGCCTGGAGCCAACTGGGGGCTCCATCTCAGGACACGGAGATCATGACCTGAGCCCAAATCAAGAGTCAGAGAAGCTTAACTGACTAAGCCACCCAAGTGCCCCTCAGCTATTTTTCTTGAATGAATGCTCCTTTATTTCCAGTTATTTTTTTAAATTTTATTAAATACTTTATTTATTGGGGCACCTGGGGGCTTAGTTGGGTATCTGCCTTCAGCTCAGGTCATGATCATGGAGTCCTGGGGTTGAGCCCTAATGGGGCCCCCCTGCTCAGTGGGGAGCCTGCTTCTCCCTCTGCTGTTCATCCCACTCCTGTGCTCTCTCTCTCTCACTCTCTTTTGCCAGTGTTCTCATTGCTTTTATATAGGTGGTTAAGACTATTCCTAGGCTGCTGTTCTGAAAGTGCCTCCTTTCATTCATTTTATTTTATTTTACTTTTTAAAAAAGATTTTATTTATTTATTTTATTTATCCATTCATGGGAGACACACAGGGAGAGAAAGAGACATAGGCAGAGGGAGAAAAAAGCAGGCTCCCTCTGGGAGCCTGATGCGCAACTCCATCCCAGGACCCTGGGCCAAAGGCAGATGCTCAAGAACTGAGCCACCCAGGCGTCCCCCTTTATTCATTTTAAATATAGCCTTGATCATCCACCAGCTGTGAGACTCTGGGGAAGTTACAGAAACCTTGCTAATTCCTATGTTTTGAAAATAATAAATAAAATTAGCCATCAGCTACTTAGCACACCACCCATTAAAAGTGAGTGTTCAGGAGATGATGCCTCCTCTGCTGAGGAGAAAGCACCAGGAATCTGCCTCTGCTCAGCAGGGAATCTGTTTCTCCCTGTCCCTCTGTCACTCCCCTTGCTTGGGCTCTCTCACTCTCGCTCTTTCTCAAATAATTAAAATCTTAAGAAAGAAAAAAAATCTTAAGAAAGAAAGAAAGAAAGAAAGAGAGAATGAAAGAGAGAGAGAGAGAGAGAGAAAGAAAGAAAGAAAGAAAGAAAGAAAGAAAGAAAGAAAGAAAAGCAACTGCAAATATAAGAAATACTAGAAGTAACTACACATGCCCCGGGAAAGGCTCTGAAAAGACTTGAGAAGATCTTTAGTTCATGCCCCAGGCTGATCCTCAACAGACAGCATACAACAATCAGCAAACAGTAATAATAATCAAACACAGTAACAAAAAAAATAGGAAACCCTGGGGACTGGAGAATCTGGTACCCAGAGTTAGCACATTATTAGATTCAAATGCCCAGGGGATCCCTGGGTGGCGCAGCGGTTTAGCGCCTGCCTTTGGCCCAGGGCGCGATCCTGGAGACCTGGGATCGAATCCCACATCAGGCTCCCGGTGCATGGAGCCTGCTTCTCCCTCTGCCTGTGTCTCTGCCTCTCTCTCTCTCTCTCTCTCTCTCTCTCTCTCTATGTGACTATCATAAATAAAATAAAAAAAAATGCCCAGTATTCAACAACATCACATGGCATACAGTAAATACGGCCCATTCAATAAAGAACACAAAACAACAGCTAATGTCACTCATAAAGATCTAATTAATGGCACATATACTAGAAAAAGACTTTAAAACAACTGTTTTTAAAGATGCTCAAATAACTAAAGAAGGATGTGGAGAAAGTCAAGGAAGCATTTTGTGAACAAAATGAAAATATCAATAAAGAAATAGAAAAATCTAAAAAGAAAACAAAAATGGCTAATTTGCATTTGCCTATTGGTTAGCGATGTTGAGGATCATTTAATGTGCTTACTGACCATTTGCATACTTATTTCAGAGAAATGTCTATTCAAGCTCTTTGCCCATATTAAAATCTGATTTTTTTAAAGATTTTTTTTATTCATGAGAGACACATAGAGACAGAGGCAGAGACATAGGCAGAGGGAGAAGCAGTCTCCATTCAGGGAGCCCAATGTGGAACTCGATCCTGGGACCCTGGAATCACACCCTGAGCTGAAGGCAGACGCTTAACCGCTGAGCCATCCAGGCGCCCCAAAATCTGATTGTTTTTGTTGAGTTGCGGGAACTAGTCTTTTAAGAGGAGGCATTTCAAATCAGGGGAGAAAAAAGGATTATTCAATAAGCAATGTAGGGCAATTGGGTAAAATTCTATAAAAAAATTAAAAATTGTCACATTTTTCCTGTTTTTTTTTTAAGATTTATTTATTTATGATAGACATAGAGAGAGAGAGAGAGAGAGAGAGAGAGAGGCAGAGACACAGGCAGAGGGAGAAGCAGGCTCCATGCTGGGAGCCCGACTCGGAACTTGATCTGGGGACTCCAGGATCGCGTCCTGGGCCAAAGGCAGGCGCGAAACCGCTGAGCCACCCAGGGATCCCTCCTGTTACCCCAGTGTTATACTTTTGGAGGTGGGAACTTTGGGGAGATAATTAGATTTATATTAGGTCATGAAGCTAGGACTCCTTTTTAAGATTTTATTAATTTGAGAGAGTGAGTTAGCAAGTGAGAGAGCACAAGCAGGGGGAGCTTTAGAGGCAGATAGAGAAGCAGGCCCCTTGCTGAGCAGGGAGCCTGACATGCCTCCATCCCAGGACCCTGGGACCATGACCTGAGACAAAGGCAGATGCTTAACTGAATGAGCCACCCAGGTACCCCTATGTTAGACGCTTAAATATTCATCTTTCTATATATTCCTGGAACAAATTTTGGCTACTTTAAAAGTAAAAATTAGAATAATTTGGTGAGTTTGTATTGGGTCATCATTTTTAGAGAAGCTACAATTGCATCTCCCAGAATGCCCTTCTCTGTATTGTTCTAAATTAGGGTTGACCATAAGAATTTATGTGAGATTTGGCAGATAGGAGTCAAGCAGCTCTGAAGGGCATTAGGTATGGAGTAGCACCTTGACCCACTTTCCCAAGTCTTAGGTCAGGCATGAGTTCAGCTCCATGAAGACTGGTATCATTTCGTTCTGAAGGTCATCCATGTCATCTAGTTTAGACGCAGTGAGAGAGAACATAGAATTCAATTTGTCCTCACTGGTTTCAGTTTGTCCTAGGGGTTTCAGTTTGTCTTTGTTCTTCCCTACTTCATGTAAGTTCTTGACTACAAGACACACTATAGCAATTTTAAGCTCCCCTCCAGACACAATGGCAATAGCTTCTCATAAACTCTTCAGTAGCTCCCACAATTATATAAGTATAATCCCTGTAACTAATCTATTGTACTATATCAATCATAATGGTTGTGCTTTCTTGATCCAATTGTAGTTGATAGAAAAATATAGTCTTTATGGATTTGTTTTTTTCTAAAGATTTTATTTATTTATTTATTCATGAGAGGCACAGAGAGAGAGGCAGAGACGTAGATAGAGGGAGATGCAGGCTCCTTGCAGGGAGCCCAATGCAGGACTCGCTCCTGGGAAGGGGATCATGCCCTGAGCCAAAGGCAGATGCTCAACCGCTGAGCCACCCAGGCATCTCAAAGATTTTATTTTTAAGTAATCTCTATACCCAATGAGGGGCTGGAACTTACAACCCTGAGATCAAGAGTCACATGTTCTACCAAGTGAGCCTGCCAGGTGTCCCTATGCGTACAATTTTTTAAGTGTAAATTTTAAATGAAGTATAATATACACAAAGAAAAATAAACCTTTTTTCTCTAGAGAGAGCAAAAGATTTTCTTTTTTTTTTCTTTTGAGTATAGTTGACACACAGTGTTACATTAGTTTCAGGTATATAATCTAGTGATTTGACACAAAAATGTACTATTTTACCTTTTTTATGGTCATGAGGGAGAAGTGGGCTTATTCTTAATTAAAATATCTCTAGAAAAACACCATCAAGAATGCTTAATTTATCTGGTTCTTTGGTGGCTTAGTATGTTAGGTATCCGCTTTTTTCTTTTCTTTTTTTTGGGGGGGGGGGTATCTGCTTTCCACTCAGGTTATGATCCTGGGGTCCTGGGATGAAGTGCTGCATCAGGTGCTCTGCTCAGCAGGGAGCCTGGTTCTCCCTCTGTCTGCCAACCCCACTCTGCTTGTGCGCTCTATCAAATGAATCAATATTTTTTTTTAAAAAAGAATGCTTCATTTATTATGGTGATCATTTAGTACGTCCAAACACTCAATCATTATGTTTTACACCTGAAACTAATAGGTTATATGTCAATTCAGTCTCAAAAGAACAATGCTTCATAGTAGGCACTGCTCTGAAGGTACTGAAAGACAACCAGTGTTCCATGAGATGTATTTTAGGTAGAATTACAGGCTGTTCAGGTAAATGGAAGGCAGCTTAGGAACGGATCAATCCACCATATTCATCAGTGTGTTTCAGTAGGAGTTACCATATGTAAACCAGCACAGTTATATGAAAGTGCTTACTTTTAAAATACCTTTATCTGAATAATCCCAATTTCCTTTCTCCTTATGCTATTCTCCTTGATTCGAAATCCATACTACCTGCAAATGGAAATTCCATAAAAACCACTGACAGAAAATTCTTATTCAACCTTACCTAAAGACCAGAATACTATACATTTCTTACTCCATAAACTTAACGAAGAGTTGTCAAAATGAAGTCTTAGATTAGAAATCTAAGCTCTTGGGACGCCTGGGTGGCTCAGTGGTTGAGCGTCTGCCTTTGGCTCAGGTCATGATCCGGGGTCCTGGGATCCAGTCCCCTACCGGGCTCCCCGCAGGGAGTCTGCTTCTCCCTCTGCCTGTGTCTCTCATGAATAGATAATTTTTTTTTTTAAAGAAAAAAAAAATCTAAGCTCTTTCTTGAGTATGCATGATCCAACAGACTGGAACTGAAGTGAATATGATAAAAAAAAAAAAAAAGACATAGAGGAAGCAGCAGATGTAACACATAAATCCTTCCTAGTTTGAATAAATTACAAACAAAAAATGGCTAGCCTTACACTTTAGTGTCCTGGAATAAGCCCAAGATCTAAAAAGCACGAGTTTTATGGACTGACTCCTGGTTTTGCTACTTACTGAATTGTGGCACCTTGGGCTAATCAGTTACCGTGAGCCTCGTTTCCTCACTCGTAAACACCCCACTGCGTTTTGCAACAGGTGCCATTCTCTTGGCAAATGCCGGGCACTCACAAAAGCGGTAGTTCTTTATCACCCAAATGGCGCTCGTTTTCATATACTCGCCCTCAAAGTTAGTAAGCAATCAGGAGCAAAGAATTAGAGCCCAGTTCTCCGAATCACACCAGCTCACATCAGGGTACCCTCGAAGGCGTCACCGAGGGTCTCTTTCGGTGGAAGCGGATGTGGCATTAGAAGGGGCCCGGGGGCGCGACGCAGCGGGCAGCAGGATTTCCGCCGCAACCGCCAAAGCGCCCGCCGGCCGCAGACACCGAACCGGAACTGGTGAGAAGTACGCCTGCAGCCGAGGGAGGTAACGCGGAAGCGTCGCAGAGGGGGTTGGCGGACTACGTTTCCCATAAGTCCACGGGGCAGGGCGAGGGGCGGGCGGGCGACTGGGACAATACCGGACGGGCCTTGCCTGGTAATGCCAAGGTAAAAGCCGGTAGTGCGGCTCGGAGGGAAGAGCACCTTACAGTCTGCGCTTAGATATCTGCTAGTAGCCCTCCTAACCCACCCCAAACTGACAGTGAGGTCCTGGCAATTCGGGGATTTCCGGGCCGCAGGGCTCCATCCCTAAAACGCGCATCAGTACCCCGCCCCCCGTGGGCCTGGGGGCGATTCCAGGTGCCTGAGGTCGCGGGGCGTTATACTGGAAAGGTGAGGGCCCAGGGTCCCGTTTCGAGGGCTGACAGCCCGTTCTGGGTCCTCAGTGCCTCCTCCCTCGAGCCGTGTGACCTATTAAATCGCGCTGGAGCTGGACTGTGCCCGGTTCCCCGGGTGGGAGGACAGCCGTGGTGCCGGGGCAACTGCCCTCCTTCCCACCCCCAACCCTGAGCCCCCAGTCCGGTCTGGCGGCCGGCGATCTTCCTGCTCCTTGGGGGGCTCTCGGGCGTTCTCGACTCGAGGCAGCCCAAGCCCTGCTAAAACACTGATGCAGCACCTCTAATTCCTTCCGCCGTTGGGGTGCTGGCAAGACTGCCAATGGAGAGGCTGAGCAGCTTGCTCTAAGAGCTTGAGGTTCGCACCGAGTCTCTGCGGACCTAAAGCCCTTTGCTCCCGTCCCTGCACAGTCCTCGGGCCGTAACTTCAGAGTTCGGGCGCTGTGAACCGCAGGGTCCTTTTTATATTTTCCCCCAACGGTACCGCCTCTCGCTCGGCCCTTTGAGCCCAGGTGCGCCGGCACGGACGCGGCGGTCCCGCCCGTTCCAACAGCGAGGACCCGAGCCGTCGCCCCTGCGGCCTTGCCTTCCCCCCTGGCGCTACCCGGTCGCCTGGCGGCAGCGCTCGCGGCAGGCTCCGACGCGAGGCGGGGGGTGGAGTCGGCGGAGCGGCCGCGGCCGCAGCGAGTGGGCCCTGGGGTGGCGCTGGGGCGGGGCCGCGAGGAGGGCGCCGGCTGACCCACCGACCCCGCCGGGATGGGGAGAGTGGCTGCCCCGCCAGGGTCCTGCGGGTGGGGGAGCGGCTCGGCGGCCGCGGCTGGCCGGAGCCCTTCCGCGCTGTGCTAGCGATGCTCTTCCTCTCGGTGAGTTGTCGTTCGTTCTCGGCCGCGCGGCCTAGGTCACGCCCCGGGGAGGAGGAAAGAGCCGGGCCGCCTCGGTCCGTGCGGCCTGGAGGGCAGGGCCACGGGGCGCTGACTCGCTGCGTGGGCCTCCTCCTCCCTTTGGGCATGTTGATCCGCGGCTGCGCTCCATGTTCCAGTTTCATGCAGGCTCCTGGGGAAGCTGGTGCTGCTGCTGCTGCCTGATTCCAGCCGACAGACCTTGGGACCGGGAGCGGGGCCGGGGCCGGGGCCGGGGCCGGCGCTGGCGGCTGGAGATGGCGGACACGAGATCCGTGCACGAAACCAGGTTTGAGGCGGCGGTGAAGGTGATCCAGAGTTTGCCGAAAAATGGTAAGTGCGCTCAGGAAGCCTCCTGCAGAGGCCCGAGGCCCCAGTTCCGGAACATCGCCTCTTTCAATCTTCTCTCGGCTGGTAGTCTTGCTAATTTAACCTACTTCGCTTCTGCCTGTACAACGAATGTAATTGGAGGGCAGGTGAAGAATGGGAATTAATTACCTGCTGATCTTGCAAGCACCAGACGAATCTGTTATCCAGCGTTTGAGTAGTTGCTATTGCTGAAAACAAAAGTCTGTCACTTAATGACTGCGGATTTGGGTATGTTTAAAAAAAACAAACAAACTGGGTGGGAGATGCCTGGTGCCGCCTACTCCTAAACTGCACTATTTAACCTTTCAAAGACTTTTGATGTGAAGGCAGGGAAAGGAAAGAAGAGCTAAATTCATTTGTAAAATTATTTATTTTAATACATACATGTATTTGTGACTTTTTTCATGTGTGCTGTGCTCTGTATTCTTGTGTTCTCTTTCTTATACTTATATTGGGCCTTCCTCGCAGCTTAGGAGAAAAGTCATTTCAGTTCTTTTGTATTTAATATTTTTCAGACTCCTTTCAAAATTTTTCTCCTTATCCTTGGCTTTCAGCAGTTTGACTGTGATGTGTCCAGGTGTGGTTTTCTTCAAATTTATCCTGTTAAGAGTTTACAGAGCTTTTTGAATTTGTCATTTTATGTGCTTGACCAAAGTTGGGAAGTTTAAAGCCGTTAAGATATTTTTTTCCTTTGGAGAGGCTTGGCAAAAACAACTTTTATCTTTTACTTCGTATCCTTCTTCACTATAGGAATTATTTTTCACAATTAACTTGTATTTTCTGACGATGCTTCTTAAAGCACTATTACTGTGCCAGAGCATAAAATTCACTGAATACATCGTTAGCATATTTTTACAGTATTTCGTATGTTTTCTGCTTTAATTAATCATGAGTTGACTTGGTAATGACTATTCAACATGGTTTAATAAAAATTCATTAAGTGCAAATTCAAAAGGTTTTGAAAACAAATATACACAAAATAGTATTCTTTTTGTAATCTCAAACGTCAGACTGGAGGAGGAACGTCTGAGATTATGAAGGGGTTGAAAGATAAAAAGAAAAAAGAAAAAGAAAAAAGTGAATGAACAATATGTAAAGAAATAATGTAGGAACTTATTTAGCTGTTGGTTTTTAAAATGCCTGATTAAGAGGGTTTATAAAAAGGCATCATTCTAAGAGTTTTACAGAAGTTGTAGCGTCATCCTTTCTCTTAAACCGATATTTTTCTAATTTTTTGAAAATTGTTAAAGGTAGAACTTAACTTCTCTAGTCTATTTTTTGGGTATATATAATGTATTAAGAAATCTGTGTAAATATGAACTGTATAAACATAGCATTTAAGAAGCTATTGCAAAGTTAAGATATCCTGGCAAATGGCACCTGAGTTGGATAATATTCAGTATACTGTTATCCCCTGAAATTAAACTGGTATTAATTGAAGCTGGAAGTATTGTTATAATGAATTAAATTTTTTTATAATAATACCTTTTAACAGGTGTCTGCCCTGAACAGTTTTGCAAAGAGTAATATCTTACAATTAGTTCCTTGACCTTTATGTAAGGTCTAAGGTTACAATGAATCATGTAGCATCTATGTTTGATTTACCCTTAGCCTTTAGAAATTTAAATTCCTATGGGACACGTGGGTGGCTCAGCGGTTGAGCTTTTGCTCTCAGCTCAGGATGTGATCCCTGGGTCCTGGGATCAAGTCCCGCATCTGGCTCCCTGCAGGGAGCCTGCTTCTCCCTCTGCCTGTGTCTCTGCCTCTCTCTCTCTTTCTCTCCATGTCTCTCATAAATAAATGAATAAAATCTTAAAAAAAAAATTTAAATTCTTAGATGACATTTTAAATACAAATATCAAATATAGTATGTGTGAGCACCTTGAGAACAGATTATATTTTATCTGGTGTTTATATATAGATTATATTCAAAACATTATCAATTTTTGCTGTAATCTATTCTAATGTATATGTCACTCATCTTAACTTTTAAATCTTATTTTGATTTACTGTAGATACTGTAGATGAGTTGAATCTCTTGGTGTTTTAAATTTAGATTTGTGTTATTTAATAGGTAACCATTTAAAAAATACTTCTTCAAATAAAACTATTTCAAAGCTTAAAAAAATATGTAGCCATTTTAACTGTAACTTCCCTATGTTTTTTAACCTATGTTATACCAAAGAGGACGATATTATTGAAATAATATATCTAATAGATACTCCTAAAGGAGTATATATGATATAGAATTGTTATTGTGGCTTTGGAATTAATTACTCATTCTTGCCCATACCTGAAACACCAGCTCTCAGCTTGTCTGTGCTGTAATTTTCACAATGTTTATAAACTACTAGTTTTTGATTACTACACACTATTTGTTATGCAATCTATAAAGTTTTTAAAAATATCTTCTTACACTTTTTATTTTTGTAATAATTTTGTATAAAAATAATATACAAACAGAATGTAAAAAATTTTAAAACACAAGCAAACAGGAAAATAAAAATAATCTCTATGCTTAGTATCTCCAGAAATATCTTCTTTAACATTTTGGTGTGTTTCCTTCTATTCTGCTTTTGATGTATATAAATATTTTGCAAAAATGAATTGTACTTGGTATGCTATTTTTATTTTATTTTTTAAAAGATTTATTTATTTTGTTAGTTGAGAGAGAGAGAAAGCACGAGTTGGGAGGAGAGGCAGAGGGATAGGGAGAAACAGACTCTGCTGAGCAGGAAGCCCGATGCAGGGTTTGATCCCAGGACCTTGGTATCATGACCTGAGCCAAAGGCAGACTCTTAACCAACTGAGCCACCCATGCCCCCGGATATGCTATTTTTGAACTACTGTTTGTGTGTGTTTTTTTTTTTTTCATTTTATATTGTGAAACGTTTCTCAAGCCATTCTTTGTATTTTCATAATATATAATTTGTAAGGGCTGTAGTTATAAATTATCCAGTTGTATATATGTATATATGTGTCCTAATTATTTTGGCATTACCTATTATAAAACATTGGCATTCCGATTTTCCTTGTTATGAAATATTGCAACTTATAGTACTCATGCATACAATAATTTTTTAAAAGGTTACCTTTTATAAAAAGGTTATAGGTATGTTAGAGACATGTATGAACACTGATTTTCAAAGAAATTGATGTGTTCAAAATTACAAAGGTAGGAAGTGTGAAATCTCTTTTATCTTGGATTGATTCTTTTTCTACCACAGCACACACTGGTTGACTTTAGTCAAACTTCCTTATCCATTAAGAAATTGAAATTTGGCCAAGAGAGTTGGATTTCTTAATATTGAAGTTTCATTAAGCAGACTGTACATATAACTTTTTCACTTATGCTAGGCAGTTTGGTTTGTCACTATCCTTGTTTAGAAAATACCTTATTAATAGTTGCATAATGCAGCTATTCTGTATTTTCATATATTGCTTTTTTAAATGATATTTTCCAGTTAGTTACATCTAGAGCATATTTGTTCATTTAACCTTTTATTTATTGAACTATGTTAGGCATTGCTATTAAAGTGTAACAATCTCCAGGGATCCCTGGGTGGCGCAGCAGTTTGGCGCCTGCCTTTGGCCCAGGGCGCGATCCTGGAGACCGGGGATCGAATCCCACGTCGGGCTCCCGGTGCATGGAGCCTGCTTCTCCCTCTGCCTGTGTCTCTGCCTCTCTCTCCCTCTCACTGTGTGCCTATCATAAATAAATAAAAATTTAAAAAAAATAAAGTGTAACAATCTCCAGAGTTTTTTTTTTTAAGATTTTATTTATTTATGAGAGACACAGAGAGAGAGACAGAGACATGGGCAGAGGGAGAAGCAGGCTCCGTGTGGGGAGCCTAATGTGGTACTCCATCCTGGAACCCCGGGATCATGCCCTGAGCCAAAGGCAGACATTCAACTGCTGAGCCACTCAGGTGCCCCAAGAGTTTTAATTTTTATTATTATTATTATTTTTTCTTTTTAAAGATTTATTTATTTATTCATTCAGAGAGAGCGAAGAGAGAGGCAGAGACACAGGCAGAGGGAGAAGCAGGCTCCATGCAGGAAGCCTGATGTGGGACTCGATCCTGGGTCTCCAGGATCACACCCCGGGCTGCAGGCAGCGCTAAACCGCTGTGCCACTGGGGCTGCCCGAGTTTTATTTTTTTAAGTCAGAGGACTGAAGCAACTTACAGAGCCGTGACATTTGTTTCTATAAGACAAATAAGTGATTATCTGAACTATTAATGAAATATTTAAAAATCACTATTATTATAACTAAGCTGATTTATAGCTTTAGATTGTCAATTGTATTCTCCAGGTGATCTGTTTTTGATATGTTTCCAATAGGTTCATTTCAGCCAACAAATGAAATGATGCTCAAGTTCTATAGCTTCTATAAGCAGGCAACTGAAGGACCGTGTAAACTTTCAAGGCCTGGATTCTGGGATCCTATTGGAAGATATAAATGGTAATTTCATATAGGGAGCTATGAAAGGAATTTTATTTTAATGACATAGTTATCATATGACTTATTTATGTGGTTACGTATTATTCTGAGCAGAGACTGTTCTAACGTACTGGATCCGATTTTTATCCTCCACGTTCTTTTAACACAATTTCATATGAAGAGAAAAGTCTTGGGGAAGAGAGGAAAACAGTAAAACCAAAAAGGACCGGTGTATCAAAGATAAAAAAATCATTTTCAGGTAGTCTTTCCTTTTAGGAGTTTTTTTCATTTTATTGTAAGAAGAGCAACTCCCAAGAGCAGTTAAACTCTCCTGCCTCTTTTACCAAGAAAAATAATGACTTTTACTTGCCAAGTGACACTGTTTACTTTGAGCCTTTAGGTGATAAGTAACTAGGCACATGCTGTGCTAACTTTTGGTCTGGGCTATCACTCTTGTCCCACTGTACTTGAATAGAAATTTGATTTTTAATATACATAAGAAAGTCGTAAAATAGCCAGAGAAACCTCCATAACATGGACTGTACTTTAGGAACAGAGTATGCTAGCTGGTGTAGCAGGTCTTAAGAGCCACACATTTTGATGGCTAAATTTATTTACACTGAATTGGAAGTCCTTAAACTCCTTTGAGGATTTCTTAGTACTATGTTTTCCTCTAAGTTCTTTGTGAATAGTCATAAATAAAAGGTTAAATGTAATAGCTGTCTGTTAGTTGATCTGTTTTAAGACAAGTGATTTACCTTACGATTTTTCCCTCAGAATTGACCGTTGGTGGATTTAAACTGCTTCTGGAAAAAATGTGTAAAAAGAAAGAGTTTCATTATAGGCAAAAATTTCAGAGGACTGTTGTCCTTATCTAGGGGTTTAAAATGTCTTATGCCAAAATAAAATGAAATGAAATGAAATGAAATGAAATAATAAAATATAAAATAAAATAATAAAATAAAATTAAAATAAAATAAAATAATAAAATAATAAAATAAAATAAATAAAATAAAATAAATAATAAAATAAATAAAATAAATAAAATAAAATCTCATGCCTCACATTTTTGTTTCTAAGAAGTAGGAAGCCACTTTTATTTTTTGAGTATATGTTAGACTCTTGTTTAAAATTAATGAAACTTTTAACCAGAATTTCTGTTCATTTAAAACATGGCCATGATAGTTCATTTCATATAGAGTCTTTTAAAATGTTCATTGCTGTCACCATTCTTTATCATACAAAATTTTTGAAGAGTTCTTAGCAAATATTTTTCAACAATATATAGTATCTACCCTATGCTATATATAATAGTCTCTGTAACCTATAGTTTATAATTTACAGATGGGCTACATATTTACTAGTTTTAAATACTCTTTAATTTGACAGTTTATTTTCTCTGATACTTTTTTTTTAAGATGGTACATTTATTTTATTTTTTTAAGATTTTATTTATTTATTCATGAGACACACACACACACACACACACACACACCCCAGAGGCAGAGACACAGGCAGGGGGAGAAGCAGGCCCCATGCAGGGAGCCTGATGTGGGACTTGATCCTGGGACTCCAGGGTCATGCCCTGGGCCTAAGGCAGGCGCTAAACCGCTGAGCCACCCAGGGATCCCCTAAGATGGTACTTTTAAAGAGATCCTTGGAAGCATAATATTTTTGTATAGGCTTTAAGTAGAAAGCCTGTTTTAAATTAATGACCCTATAGCATTGACTACAAATTGTATTCTGAGCAATTGGAAATTGTTCAGTAATTTGATATTTGCCTGTTCTTATTTCTAGGGATGCTTGGAGTTCGTTGGGTGATATGACCAAGGAAGAAGCCATGATTGCATATGTTGAAGAAATGAAAAAGGTAGGGGAAATCATTCACAGCAGAAAATGAAAATATTAGATCTCCGGGATGACTCAGTGTGTCTGCCTTTGGCTCAGGTCATGATCCTGGGGTCCTGGGATTGAGTCCAGCATCAGGCTCCCTCTGGGGAGCCTGCTTCTCCCTCTGTACATGTCTCTGCCTTTCTCTGTGTCTCTCATGAATAAACAAATAAAACTTAAAAAAAAAAGAAAATGAAAATATTCATGGGGCACCTGCATGGCTTAGTTGCTTAAGCATCTGATTCTTGATCTCAGCTCAGGTCTCTTTTTAATGTTTACAATTTTTAAATTTTATTTTCAGGTCTGATCCCAGGGTCATGAGTTAAAAAAAAGAAAATATCCAGCACAGCTGAATTAAATTAATTTTGTTATTAAGCAAATTAGCTTCTTTGTTTAAAGGAACAAAGAAATTATAATATGTTAGCATATAAAAACTAAGATGAATTTATTAGGGCTTTATCTGTCTCTTCAATGTTCATCTTTTTTTTTTTTTAAAGATCTTTTTTTTTTTTTTTAATTTTTATTTATTTACGATAGTCACAGAGAGACAGAGAGAGAGAGAGAGAGAGGCAGAGACACAGGCAGATGGAGAAGCAGGCTCCATGCACGGGAGCCCGACGTGGGATTCGATCCTGGGTCTCCAGGATCGAGCCCTGGGCCAAAGGCAGGCGCTAAACCGCTGCGCCACCCAGGGATCCCCTCTTTTTTTTTTTTTAAATGTTCATTTTAAGATAAGTGTTTTTACCTTAAGATCACACTGTAGTGATATGATTTTTTTAATCTTCTCTGTATTTGTCCATAGTCAGCTTCTTCAGAAAATGTAGAAATAGGAATCTTTTGAAATATTGAAGCCCCTTCCTCAGGAATCTGGGGAATACCTGAGCAACCTTGAAAGCATTTCTGCTTTGGAACTTTTTATTTAGGAGAAATAGCTAACAACCCTGCCCATCAGTGTTTTCGTCGAGTTTGACTCACAAATTGAAATACATCATGGGATTTCTTAATAACAAGGATTTCTTTTCCTTGAATGCAGAGATCCTTCAGAAACAAAATAAGATAAGGATGCTTTTAATCTCTCTGGTAATTGGTAAGGACAGCTTTCCTTACTGACTAGCTTTCTTAAGTCTACTCAAGGGATTTTTTGAGGAGCAAATTTATGAAGAAATCATGATTTTAAAGATACTCTTAGTGTCTTTTTATAAAGCACCATTGCTGTGTTGGAACTGGATCAGAAATTGTGAAATTTGGGATGCCTGGATGGCTCAGTGGAGCACCTGCCTTTGGGCCAGGGTGTGATCCTGGAGGCCCAGGATCTAGTCCCACGTCGAGCTCCCTGCATGGAGCCTGCATCTCCCTCTGCCTGCGTCTCTGCCTGTCTCTCTGTGTCTCTCATGAATAAATAAATAGTATTAAAAAAAAAAAAAAGAAATTGTGAAATTTAAAGATGCATGGGTGGCTCAGTGGTTAAGCATCTACATTTGGCTCAGGTTGTGATCCTGGGGTCCTGGGACTGAGTCCTGCATCAGGCTCCCCAAGGAGCCTGCTTCTCCCTCTGCCTAAGTCTCTGCCTCTGCCTCTCTCACTGTGTCTCTTGTGAATAAATAAATAAAATCTTAAAAAAAAAAAAAAGACATTGTGAAGTTTAGGTCTGTTTTATAATCTTAAATAGGTTATCTTTGAACATAAAGAAGATCTGTAAAAAGGAACACTTCTTTTGCCAGCTTGTTTGCCAGTGTTAATTTCTTTTTTTTTTTCATTTGTTTTTGTTGAAGTTTGATTTGCCAACATAGAGTATAACACCCAGTGCTCATCCTATAAAGTGCCCTCCTCAGTGTTCGTCACCCAGTTACCCTAACCCCCCTCCCACCTTCCCTTCCACAACCCTTTGTTCATTTCCCAGAGTTAGGAGCCTCTCATGGTTTGCCTCCCTCTCACTCAGTTCCCTTCCTTTCCCTTATAATCCATTTCATTTCACTATTTCTTATATTCCTCGTATGAGTAAAACCATGTAATGATTGTCCTCTGATTGACTTACTTCATTCAGTATAAATACCCTTCAGTTCCATCCACGTCAAAGCAAATGATGGGTATTCATCGTTTCTAATGCCTGAGTAATATTCCATTGTATATATAGACCACATCTTCTCTATCCCTTCATCTGTCAAAGGACATCAAGGCTCCTTCCATAGTTTGCTATTGCGGACATTGCTGCTATAAACATTGGGGTGCAGGTGTCTCAGTTTTTCACTGCATCTGTATCTTTGGGGTATATCCAAAGGGTATATAGGGTATAGGATATAGGTCATAGGGTAGCTCTATTTTCAACTCTATGAAGAACCTCCACACATTTTTCAGAGTGGCTGTACCAGTTCACATTGCCACCAACAGTGCAAGAGGGTTCCCCTTTCTCCACATCCTCTCCAACATTTGTTGTTTCCTATCTTGTTAATTTTCACCATTCTCACTGGTGTGAGGTGGTATCTCATTGTGGTTTTGATTTGTATTTCCCTGATGGCAAGTGATGCACAGCATTTTCTCATGTGCTTGTTGGCCATGTGTATGTCTTCTTTGGTGAAATTTCTGTTCTTGTCTTCTGCCCATTTCACGATTGGATTATTTGTTTTTTGGGTGTTGAGTTTAATAAGTTCTTTACAGATCTTGGATACTAGTCCTTTATCTGATATGTCATTTACAAATACCTTTTCCCATTCTCTAGGTTGTCTTTTAGTTTTGTTGACTGTTTCTTTTGCTGTGCAGAAACTTTTTATCTTGATTAAGATAAAAGATAGAAGATAACTATTGGGATAGTTCATTTTTGCTTTTGTTTCCTTGGCCTTTATAGATGTATCTTGCAAGAAGTTGCTGTGGCCAAGTTCAAAAAGGGTGTTGCCTATGTTCTCCTTTAGGATTCTGATGTATTCTTGTCTCACATTTAGATCTTTCATCCATTTTGAGTTTATCTTTCTGTATGGTGTAAAAGAATGGTCCAGTTTCATTCTGCATGTGGCTGTCCAATTTTCCCAGCACCATTTATTGAAGAGACTGTCCTTTTTCCAGTGGAGTCTTTCCTGCTTTGTTGAATATTAGTTGACCGTAAAGCTGAGGGTCCACATCTGGATTCTCTATTCTGTTCCATTGATCTATGTGTCTGATTTTGTGCCAGTACCACACTGTCTTGATGATCACAGCTTTGTTAGACAGCTTGAAATCATCATTGTGATGCCCCTGGCATTGGTTTTCTTTTTCAGTATTCCTCTGACTATTCGGGATCTTTTCTGATTCCACACAAATCTTAAGATGATTTGTTCCAACTCTGTGAAGAACATCCATGGTATTTTGGTAGGGATTGCATTAAATGTGTAAATTGCCCTGGGTAGCATAGATATTTTCACAATATTTATTCTTCCAGTCTTTGAGCATGGAATGTTTTTCCATCTTTTTGTGTCTTCCTCAATTTCTTTCAGAAGTGTTCTGTAGTTTTTAGGGTATAGATCCTTTACCTCTTTGGTTAGGTTTATTCCTAGGTATCTTTTTTTTTTTAAATTTTATTTATGATAGGCACACAGTGAGAGAGAGAGAGTCAGAGACACAGGCAGAGGGAGAAGCAGGCTCCACGCACCGGGAGCCCGACGTGGGACTCGATCCCGGGTCTCCAGGATTGCGCCCTGGGCCAAAGGCAGGCGCCAAACCGCTGCGCCACCCAGGGATCCCTATTCCTAGGTATCTTATGCTTTTGGGTGCACTTGTAAATGTGATTGACTCCTTCTTAATTTCTCTTCCTTCAGTTTCATTGGTAGTGTATAGAAATGCCACTGATTTCTGGGCATTGATTTTGTATCCTGCCACAATGCCAAATTGCTGTATGAGTTCTAGCAATCTTTGGGTGGAGTCTTTTGGGTTTTCTGTGTCCAGTATCATGTCATCTGCAAAGAGGGAGAGTTTGACTACTTCTTTGCCAATTTGAATGCCTTTTATTTCTTTTTTTTTTTAATTTCTTTTTGTTATCTGATTGCTGAGGCTAGGACTTATAGTACTATGTTGAATAGCAGTGGTGAGAGTAGACATCCCTGTCATGTTCCTGATCTTAGGGGAAAGGCTCCCAGTGTTTCCCCATTGAGAATGATATTTGCTGAGGGCTTCTCATAAATGGCTTTTAAGATGCTGAGGAATGTTCCTTCTGTACCTATACTCTGAAGAGTTTTGATCAGGAATGGATGCTGCATTTTGTCAAATGCTTTCCCTGCATCTGTTGAGAGGATCATATGGTTCTTGTTTTTTCTCTTGTTGATGTGATCTATCACATTGGCTGTTTTAGGAGTGTTGAACCAGCCTTGCATCCCGGGGATAAATCCCACTTGGTCATGGTGAATAATTTTCTTAATATACTGTTGGATTTTTAAAAATTTTATTTATTTATTCATGAGAGACACAGAGAGAGAAGAGAGAGAGAGAGAGAGAGAGAGAGAGATAGGCAGAGACACAGGCAGAGGGAGAAACCGGCTCCATGCAGGGAGCCTGATGTCATACTCGATCTCACGTCTCCAGGATCAGGCTGAAGGTGGCGCTAAACCGCTGAGCCACCTGGATCCTATTGGCTTGTATCTTGTTGAGAATTTTTGCATTTGTGTTCATCAGGGATATTGGTCTATACTTTTTTTTTGGTGGGGTCTTTGGTTTTGGAATCAAGGTAATGTGGCCTTATAAAACAAATTTGTAAGTATTCTGTCCCTTTCTATCCTTCGAAACAGCTTTAGTAGAATAGGTATTATTTCTTCTTTAAACGTTTGACAATTCCCCTGGGAAGCCATCTGGCCCTGGGCTTTTGTGTCTTGGGAGGTTTCTGATGACTGCTTCAAGTTCCTCGCTGGTTACTGGCCTGTTCAGGTTCTGTTTCTTCCTGTTCCAGTTTTGGTAATTTGTGGTTTTTCAGAAATGTATCCATTTCTTCTAGATTGCCTAATTTGTTGACATATAGCTGCT